GTTTGGGATAAAAAATGCTCTGAAAGATTTTTGGCTGCCAGGCTGACTCCCTTGGGGCAGAAGGGACACTCACCTACCCCTCTCTGGGTTGCCTGGAATGAAACATCCTGGCACAGGGTCTAGAGGCATCTCCATGGAGTATGGTTCTGTGTTCTCTTTCCAAGAGATTTATTGTTGAGTGTCTGGATCATGGTCATTAATGAGACTATATGGCGCCAATCACCCCCATGCTCACAGCTGCTCTCCACACTCTCAAACAAGCCTTACCCATGAGTGAATCTATTCCTGGACATCTAATACTTTACAGCACCAATATACCAGGAGTATCACACCACATTTGGTGGGATTTAAAGTCGAGGCAACCAACCTTATGGAAAATATATACATACAAATATATATATATATATATATTTATGCACACAAGTCTCAATGCGATAGCACAGCGGGTAGGGCGTTCACCTTACACGCGGTCAACATGGCCGACCCGAGTTCGATTCCTCCGCCCCTCTTGGAGAGCCCGGCAAGCTACCGAGAGTATTCGATATGCCAGACACAGTAACAACAAAGTCTCCAATGGAGACGTTACTGGGCCCGCTCGAGCAATCTCTTATAGAAAGGCTTAATGGCTCCTGGGTGAAATACAGTTTTCACACACTTTCCTCTAAGGAATCTTTTCTGTGTCTTTTTAGGGGATTATTCATAATAAGCAATAAAAAAATAAGTTATTTCAGTTCTGTTTTGGGGGCAGTGTTTGGGGTTTGGGATGGAAACATTCGAAATATGGTGGTGGGAAGGTGGAATGGTGGTGGGAGTGGTGTTTGAATATTAATTGTAATAAATTATCGTGAACAACTTTATAAAAATAAAATTAAATTTTAAAAAATGCTCTAATAAACCAGGTAAATCTCAAGAGAGATATTAAAACTATGTATTAAAACACACAAACTATTTATCAATATACAGGTCATCAAAAAAAAAAGAATTCAGAAAGATTTCTAAAACAATTAAATGTCATGCATTAAACCTGAATGAATCCTGGATACAAAAACTTCAACAAAATTTAGCAACAACTAGGGATATCTGAATTTGGACCATAATATCAACTTTTAATTTATACATAATTTGATAATGTTATCATAAAAGGAAATAAGCATACTCTCCAGATAAGCATGCTTAAAATTATAAATATACTTGAATATATTCTCTAAAGTTTTTAGAATACAAGTACATAAAGAGGAAATTTGACAAAGTATTAAAATTAAGCATACAAATGAGGGATTTTGTGTGTGCTCATTTTCCAACTTCTTTCATTTTTCTAGAACATAGAACATTATAAAATAAAATACTGACAAGATAGGAAGATAGAAAGCATAAAGGAGACTTGCTAAAATAAAGGAAAAGTGGCAGCAGTCTCATCAAACATGAAAGCCATGCTGTGTGTTCACGGACAGGGCACAGAACCTTTCTGAGTTTCAGCTGAAACAGGGGGAAGTAAATTCCTACAGTTCCTTCCAACAATAAAACAACAGGAGTCAGAGAGATAGTCCAGCAGACAAAGAATTTGCCTTGCACACATAGGAGCCAGGTTCAATCTCCAAGACAGGTTCAATCCCCAGATTTCATCCCAAAGTGTAGAGCCAGGAATAAACCCTAAACCCTACTGGGTATATCCCAAAAAAACAAACAAAAAACCAACCAAACAAACAAAAATTCTTGTAATCTTTCTGCTTCTTCTAAGAGCTAAACTCAAAAGATTATCATATGCGAGGTACAAAAATTCATAGGACTGCTGTAAGCAATAATAAAAAAATCTTAAAATGGCTAGCTTAATTAATGTATGTTAATCACTTAATCACTTAATCACTTAATCCCCGTTATTCATCGATTTATTCGAGCGGGTGCCAGTAACGACTCCATTCATCCCGGTTGCGTGCTAGCGTAGCCCAATGGTATCTGTTCGTTCTAGGAACATGCATAGCCTCAAACCGATCATTCAGAGTCTTGACGAAGAAGTCTGACCATCTTATAGGTGGGCGTCCACGTGATCTCTTGATGTCCCATGGAATCCAATCAGTAATGGCTCTAGTCCAGCAGTTGTCTGTAAACCTCATTACGTGTCCAGCCCATCTGATTTTTGAAGTCTTGGCAAATGAGACAGCGTCTCTGATTCTTGAGCGTTGACAAAGATCAGAACTCCGAATTCTATCTCTCATTTGAGTGAATCGTGATATTCCAAGCATAGTTTTTTCGATTCCTCTTTGAGAGACCCGAATAGTGTTCTCATCCTGTTTTCGTAGGGTCCAGGTCTCTGAGGCATATGTTAATGCAGGAAGAACAGTGGAATCAAAGAGATGTGCTCCTAGCTGGAGGTTCTTTGTCCTTTTAGTTATTTCTTCAATGCTCTTGAAGGCATTCCAAGCCGCTCTCTTCCTCCTGCGCAACTCAGGTGCCAGGTCATTCATCATGTTGATTTCTCGACCTAGGTATATATAACTGTTGCATTCGGAGATGGTGGTTCCGTTGAGAGCGAAAGGAGCATCAGGAACAAGGCTGTTTCTCATAAACATTGTCTTCGTAAGATTCAGCTGTAGTCCGACCTTTCCACATTCACGGTCAAAGTCGTTCAGCATTTGTGCCGCTTGGCTGATGTTTGGTGTTATTAGAACGATGTCATCAGCAAAGCGGAGGTGGTGTAGTTGCCGACCATCTATCTTCACTCCCATGTTTTCCCATTCCAGTCGTCGCATGATGTTCTCGAGGGTGGCACTGAAGAGTTTTGGTGAAATGGTATCACCCTGCCGATGTTTGTATGTTATGCCGATAATAATGTATGTTAATTATTAATTTATCAGTTAATTAATTAAGCAATAAATAGTAACTCATTTTGGAGAAAACATCATAAAAATTCTTCAGGAAAAAAAGAAAGAGATTAAGACTACCAATTTGATTAAAGAAATAGTAATTTGCTTAGTAGGAATAGTTATACAAAATTAGAATGATTTTAATATTTTTATTTAATATTATTTTGCATCTACAATATTAACCCTAGGAGGTTAGAGGTTATAATCATGATCTTTAAAATAAAATAATAAAATTATACAACCAAAATTTAGGTAACAATCTAGGAGATTTCAGACTTGTTTAAAATTATAAGATTGATCTCATTTTAAAAAGAAAACATGGCAGGGACGGGAAGGTGGGGGGCAGAGGGGAGCAGAGGGGGAACTGGGGCAACAGTAGAGCAGGTAAAGTGCTTGTCCTCTTCAGGGTTCACGGAGGTCCTTTCTCCAGAATCCCACCCATATGAGCCCCACCCAGAGTGACCCTAAGTTCGGAGCCAGGAGTAAGCCCTGAGCAAAAGCTCAGCATGACACAAAAGCAAAACAAAACAAAAGTGCATATGTGCGTGCATGTGTGTGTGTGTGTGTGTGTGTGTGTGTGTGTGTGTGTGTGTTGGGGGCTAGGGAGGGAGGCTGGAGAAATACTACAGAGGGTAGGGGGCTTTCTCCTTGCACATGACGTCCTGGGTTTAATTCCCTAGCACAGAATATGGTCCCCAGAGCAACACCAAGAATGATCCCTAAGTGCAGAGCCAGGAGTTATCCCTGAACATCACTGGTTGCGGCTCAAAAAAGTCACATAATTAAGGTACAGAAAAGTAATACAAGGTATTAACTAGTAACACTGTAACACTGTCCTCACGCTGCTCATCAATTTGCTCGAGCGGGCACCAGTAACGTCCCCATTGTGAGACTAGTTATTACTGATTTTTTTGGCATATCGAATACGTTATGGGTAGCTTACCAGGCTTTGCCGTGCAGGCTCAACACTCTCAGAAGCTTGCTGGGCTCTCCGAGCAGAGCGGAGGAATCGAACCCAGGTCCTTGGGTCTGCCACGTGCAAAGCAAACACCCTACCCGCTGTGCTATCACTCCAGCCCATTAACTAGTACATACTAATATTTTTCATGTACCTTTATTTCTAACACAACCATTGTAATTAATTTGCCTTTGGGTCTGGCTTGTGGGTTTTTGCATTGGTTTCACCCTTTGCCCGCCTCCAAGAGCTGGGAATGGAACCCAGGGCCTCACACATGTAAGATACATTTCCCTTTAGTGAAAGTCTTCCTTGAGATAATGGGGAAAATAACTCTCTAAAGATTTGTGTACATCCACACAGCTGCTCTAAGCGTAAAAACTTCTATTGTGCTGGGGATGTAGCACTCATAGATAGAGCCTTACATGTGCAAGGACCCCAATTCATTCTAACATGTAACACGCATACACACACACACACACACACACACACACACACACATACAGTCACTGTCACTGTCCTCTCATTTTCATCATTTGCTTGAGTGGGCCCAGTAACATCTCCATTGTGACACTTGTTACTGTGTTTGGCATATCACACACACAAACACCACACACACACACACACACACACACACACACACACACACACACTGAAATCCATCCGAGTATCATCTTTGTGTGCTCTTTCTTTCTATCCCCAAGCTACCCACAATTTCCACAACTTTTGACAAATGCACCTTAAAGAGATCATTAATATATCTCTTGTTGCTCACACCATCCTGAGCCCCACTATTTCTCACACCACCTCCTAAAACTACCAGCTTTCCATTTCATCCCAGTCAGTTCACTGCTCACATATAGTTAAAATGTTAGAATCAACTGAGAGAAAGCAAACTTCCCAAACCTTTCGAAGTTCTGAATATTTCTATGCCTAATTACTACCCACAGGGAGGAGATAGGCTTGTTTTTTTTTTCATCTGACTGCTACACACCCACATTACTTCTAATGAGTATGATTTCCCCACCACATACATCACTCTTAAAACAGCACCTTCTTACATACACTGATTCTTAAATATCAAATAGACAGAATGCGCTAACATTTTTTAAAAATCACTGCAAAATCAAGACAACACACAATTTTTTCTCTGCAATTTACTAGGAAGAAAAAAGTAATCCTACCGTGCTACTATGCATTGCTGGTCATAGTTTAGCTAAAGTAGCAGGTCCATATTGAAGAATTACACAGAACAGATGAGGAAGACACTTTGAGAAAAATGTGTGAAGTTTCACAGGAATGGTCATAGGTCTAGCCAGAAAATATGAGCTGCAAGAAGAAATTTAAAGAGTTAGAAGTGATTTTTTGTTACATAGCAATAAATAAATAAATAAAGTACAAATGTACACATACAGTGCAGTAAGCTACTAGTAGAAATTAACTGCAATAGTTTACCATATTCATCATATTAGTTGTAAGAATGCTACACAGATTTCATCCATTTATGGTAGGGTACATTACAAATAAGGCCATCAGAAATTGAAAGTATCATAAGTCAAATGGATTTATGAGAGCCTACAGGAATACCACAGTGGCTTATACATCCTAGCTTGTAAGCATTTAATCAGGAGTAGAAATCTTCAAGAATGGTCGAGATTAGTACCAGGAATTTTGTTCCATGGCTTGGAGGCCAGCCACACATGCTAGGGGAAAAGGCAGCTCAGATATAGAAGGGAGCACCAAATAAAGGGTGTTGGGAGGATCCTCCCGGGATGGGAGAAGCATGCTGAAAGTAGACTATTAGACCAAACATGATTGCCACTCAATGCCTCTTTTGCAAACCACAACACCCAAAAGGAGAGAGAGAATAAAGGGGAATGCCCTTCCACAGAGGCAGGGTGGGATGGGGAGGATGGGGGTGGGAGGGATACTCGGATCCGTGGTGGTGGGAAATGGGCACTAGTGGAGGGATGGGTATTTGATCATTGTATAATTGAAACCCAGTCACAAAAATCTGTAAGTCTACAACTGTACCTCATGGTGTCTCACTAATAAAAATTTTTTAAAAATAGAAAAAAGAAAGAAATCTCTGTGTGTTTGGGCCAGAGCAATAGTACAATAGGGAGGGAGTTTGTCTTGCACATGGCCAACCCAGGTTCCATCCCTGGCGTCCCATATGGTCCCCAGAGCACTACCAGGAGTAATTCCTGAGTGCAGAGCCAAAAGCAAGCCCTGAGATCACCGATGTGACCCAAAAAGCCAGAAAAAATAAAATTCCCATTCACAAGCAACTGTGCTGTTTAAGTTTACAAACTCAGCTGACTGACAGACCAAACCAAAAGTGACTGGCAGACCTATAGCAGCCAGGTACGTTTAAGCACCACAAAAGAGACTGCAAGCCTTGATGAGCACCATGACTAGAAAGATGTGCCAACACTAAGCAGAAGACGGACAATACCATGCAAGCACAAGTGTAAGCACTGCAGCAACCCCACGTGAGCACAGCCATGACCTGTCTATAAAAACAATGTGACCCACACCAAGACAAGTGTGCAAACACAACTAAGAGTGTAAACCTGTCCAGCAGCCCAAGAGATCCATCAGACTATGTTATCTGCTATGTAGGACATGCTCAAAATTCAAAATTCCAACAGAAGTTTCTAATGAATCTGCATCACTTTCATAAGATCTTAAAGACCAAAAATTTCACTGTGAATCAGGTACCATTTGTACTCACTAAATTTGTCTATCCCCTACTCTCTTCACTTCCTTTATACAGGTTACTAAATGAATAATGTATCTTACCTTCTCCCCTAATCTACTTCCTCAGTTTTGAAATAGTACACATTTCTATCTATTTTCAAAGATAAAACAACAAATTTGCATGATATTAAAATAAGCATTGACTACAGTTGTCTAAGTATTAGTATAGTATAGTATAGTATAGTATACTATAGTATACTATAGTATACTATAGTATAGTATAAAAAACTGATTAAGTATGTAAGGAAAATTTTGTTGAAAGCCAAGGAATAATGCTCCAAGGCAAAAAGCTACTTTAACATGCTATAGTATACTAAAATATGACTCTTACATTGACTGCCCTGCCAATTTTTGAAACCAGGGAATTCTATAAAATGCTTCTTAATCACTAGCTCTTCTTTATCACTGATTTAACTCAATGTGTTCCATTTATAGCTTTGGCTCAGTTCCTCATCTTTTTGCTTCAAGCTCTCCCATTTTTAATGCTTTCTCATTTTTCCCTGACTACTTTAAGATCAACTCTCTCTTTCAATCTTTCATTTTTGTTGTTGTTGTTTACCTACTGCATTTCCTGTCACTTTCCCCTATGCTTAATTTTCACAGAGGAAATTTCTTACCAGTAAGACTAATCCTTTCCTTCTGATCAGGAAACTGTCCAGTGTACAGGGATTGTATTTCCAGTTTCCTATACTTTCAAACCTTTTTTTCACCCGCTCAAGTAATTTATTCTCATGGTCTAGATTTCATAAATCTCTCAAAGATTGAATCTGTTGGAAATTTAATCTGCATGTAAGTAAAGTTCTATTACATTTCTTTTCTTTCACTGAACTATGACATGATTGAGAACAGGGATCATTATCTTAATAAAGGCTTCCCCTCATTCCAAAAGTAGAACGTTCCTATTTGGAATTATATAGTAGGTTATTTTTGGAGTCTGGAATGCTATTTTCATGGAATAGATTTACATGAAAAAAATTCCTAGCATTCCTATACCTTTTTCCTTGAAAAAAAAAAAGAAAGCTAACAAATAATGTTTGGGAATGCCGCCAATGAAGGGAACCTTATAAAGCCATACATATACAGAATATTTTGCAAAATACCAGAAAGATTCTGACCACCTAACAAGCGACGTGATCACTAACTGAATGAAATTTCTAGTTTTATTTTTGTTTTGGGCCATACACAGATATGCTCAAGGGTTACTCCTAGCTCTGCACTCAGAAATTATTCTTGGCAGTGCAACTGAACCCAAGTCAGTTACATGCAACGCAAACAACCTATCTGCCATATTATTGCTCCAGCCCTACCTAAATGAAATTCCAAGGTGAATTATAGCTTTCTCCAATTTGTACACTTCAGTATAAAATAATATTTACTAAGAGTTGTCATACTGGCCTATAAAATTCATTACTTAAAATTATCTTTAAATATGAAAATTATATTTATGTTTCTCTTATAATAAAGTCAGAATAAAATGTAATTAAATCCTCAATATAGTACAATAAATAGTGGAAATCATAAATATTTTCTAGGAAAATATACCGGAGTGCATACCAAGATATAAAAGTAAAAAAGGCCCTCCCGTTGATCGTGATTTGCTCGAGCGGGCCCAGTAACGTCTCCATTGGAGACTTTGTTGTTACTGTGTCTGGCATATTGAATACTCTCGGTAGCTTGCCGGGCTCTCCGAGGGGCGGAGGAATCGAACTCGGGTCGGCCATGTTGGCCGCTTGTAAGGCGAACGCCCTACCCACTGTGCTATCGCTCCAGCCCAAAGGTATGATCATACTAAAGGCCCTCCCATTGATCGATCGAGTGGGCCCATATCAAATACTCTCGGTAGCTTGCCCGGCTCTCCGAGAACGGCGGAGGAATCGAACTCGGGTCGGCCATGTCGGCCGCTTGTAAGGCGAACGCCCTACCCACTGTACTATCGCTCCGGGCTATACCAAGATATAAACATGATATATTACTTAATGTCACTTCAAGGATAAATGCAAAAATAAATAGACACAGCCTATTTAATTTCAAATATTTTTAGCATCTTCTGTCAACAAAGACAGTTGAGAGTTTTCTAGAATTTCATATTCTGGTATCTATCTACTTTGGAAACAGTTATTTTCAAAGATCTAGAAACAAAAAAGACAACTATTCTACTGAGTTCCCATGCCCATCACTAAATGCCAAGTGTCTTGTTTAAGAGATCTCATCAAAAACACCCATGCACTATTTATATCTCTTTTCAACCTAAGACTTTTCTGAAAGTTTAACTTTCAGTTAAAAAAAAAAAAAACTAAGGGGCTGGAGTGATAGCACAGCGGGTAGGGCATTTGCCTTGCACGTGGCCGACCCGGTTCAATTCCCAGCAACCCATATGGTCCCCCAAGTACCGCCAGGAGTAACTTCTGAGTGCAGAGCCAGGAGTAACCCCTGTACATTGCTGGGTGTGACCCAAAAGAGCAAAAAAAAAAAATTATAGGGGACAGACAGAGATAGAACTGCAGCTAAGGAGCTTGCCTTGTGCATGTCCAACCTGGGATAGATCCCCAGCACTCCACATCATTCCCTGAGCACACCATCTGCTGAAAGAATTTTCTGATTAATTCCTGCAAAAAAAAATATTGGTGTTGAATCTTACAAGTTTTTTTGGTTCAAATACTCTTTGGTAGGGAAGATATACTGATATTCTAGGTCTATGCCATTAATCTATTCTATGAACTTGAGAATGGGAACGATTAGAACCAAGCAAACTACATTAATTCAGAATAAGAGAAAGGTAGTTCAAGAGACAAAAATAGAGTAAGAATAGGGAGAGTAAGAATAGATAGTACAGGTTTGTAGAAGAGATTCAAAGGGATGGAATGCCTATTTGGCGTGCAGAAGCCCTGGCTTCAATCTCTGGCACTAAATGGTCCCCTGATCCCTATCCAGAGTAGTTCTTAGGCACCTTGGTCATAGTCCCAACACACACACACAATACACACAAAAGAAAACAAAAAAAAGTGTCTGTCACATGCATAAAAAACTCATTAAAAACATAACTTAGAATTTTATTGTAAAGCTTTCTGTATATAGCCATTTCAGTATCATTTGTTAAGGTATTATTACATGACATTTTCTTTGAAAACAATTTTAAATAAAAGCCACACTTAAGTTTGCTATTTTGTTTATATATATGTATATAATTTTTATCAGAAACTGGTATATAATTTATTAGAGATGTAGATGGAGTTGAGGTCGAAAGGAGAAGTATGGCCAGGACTGCAGTCAAGCAAAATTTAAGATGTGGTTCACCGCTGGTATATGTACCTGAAGGTTGGCATTTGTACAATGTTAAGAGTGAGGATCTCCATATGTGTGCCCTAGATCTTGAAGAGAAATATATTTAGTGCATAGGAAATAAAAGTTATGAGTGCAAGTATGAATTAGCCTGGGTAATTTGGGGTGGTAGAGAGGATTAAATTATCTTAGAAAATGTGTATGCATGTTTTTCTTTTTAGTTTTTGTGCCACACCTAGTGATTCTCAGGGGTTGGTCCTGGCTCTGCACTCAGAAATTACTCCTGA